TGCGGGGGGGGCGGGATCCTGGTGGGTTTTTGGTCTCTTTTCTGTGTTTGCTCTTTTTTTTTGGCTTTTTGGGTTTTTTTCCCTTTTTTTTTGGTTTTGGTTTTACCCTTTTTTTTTTTTTTGCTTTTTTTTTTCCTTTTTTTTTTTTTTTTTTTTTTTCTTCTTTTTTTTTTTTTTTTTTTTTTTCTTCTTTTTTTTTTTTTTTTTTTTTTTCTTCTTTTTTTTTTTTTTTTTTTTTTTCCTTTTTTTTTATTTTTTTCCTTTTTTGTCTTTCTTTTTTTTCTTTTCTTTTTTTCTTTTCCCTTTTAAAAACTTTTTCCTCTTTTTCGAGTCTGGTTTTTTTTCACACTCCCATTTTTTTCTTTTTTTCCCTTTTTCCTCTTATTTTGCCTTTTCCTCCTTATTTTGCTTTTTTCCTCCTTATTTTGCTTTTTTCCTTCTTTCAGGTTTTTCCTTCCTTCCGTTCTTTTCCTTCTTTCCATTTTTTTCCTTCTCCTTCGCTTTTTCCCTTTTCTTTCACTTTTTCCCTTCCTTTATCGTGTGGGTTTTTTTTCCTCCTCAGACGTTTTTCTTTTCCTTTTTTCCTTGTTATTCCACTTTTTCCTCGTTATTTCGCTTTTTCCTCTTTTTTCGCTTTTTCCTCGCTCTTTTCCTCTTCCTTTTTTTGGCTTGGTTTCTTTTTTTTGGCTTGTTTTTTGCTTTTTTGGCTTGTTTTTTACTTTTTTCGGCTCGTTTTTTTTTTCCCTTTTCGCCTTTTTCTGTCGCTTTTTCCCGTTTCTTCCACTTTTCGCCCTTTTTTGCTTTTTTTTTTCCCTCTTTCTTCTTTTTTCTTTCTTTTTTTTTCTTTTTTCTTTCTTTTGCTTCTGTTAAAAGGGCAAAGGCTGGTGAAATTAAGTTTCATTTTAACTGAGAAGGGAATTAAATTAGATGAGTATAGAACAAAAGCCATTCCACCTCCTCTGTTCTCCTTGCCCATGGCTTATAGTGAGAATGAAATGGGAACTAA